TATCCCTTTTAATCTCATTCCACAAAAATCGGGACTGCATACTTTAGTACATCTTGGTACTTCTAAGGTGCATGATGAACTTCAAACTGTGAGCCTCTGCCATGATACCTCTTTTCAAATCACCATCGTTTATAACATATAGCTTGTTTTGAAACCTGAGCAACCCATCAGCAGAAACTCAAAATCCTAAATTCAAACCTCCTTCTGTATCCTTTCTAAGAGCTGCTAAAGTAGGATCGGCCAGCAGGATCTCTTTAATCATCTAGATTACCTCATATTGGACTTATAAGTGGGCTAGACATGTGACCTGTTCTAAATCTTGGAGTTGTATTCGCTGTGTGGCCTTTATCATTCTACACTCAAAGACCATAATACGAGCTAACATACCTACATTTTTTCTACTGAGAACATTGGCTATCACGTTACCCTTGCTTGGGTGGTACAAGATCTTACAATCATAATTCTTAAGAAGTTCTATCCAATGTTTTTTAGCATGTTGAGATCCTTCTGTGTGAATATGTGTTTCAGACTCTTATGATTTGTATAGATTTCAAATGTCTTTCCATACAAGTAATAGCGTAAGGCCTTCAAGGTATGGGAAATTCTTTTCGTGGGTTTTCAGTTGTTTGGACCCATAAACTATGACCCTCCCATGCTGCATCAAAACACAACCCAAACCTTGGTAGAATGCGTCACTGTATACCGTATATCTGTCTGTTCCATTTGATAAAGGCAACACCGGTGCAGTAGTCAGTCGCTTTTTGAGTTCTATAAAACTTCTTTCACATTCCTCATTCTACTCAAACTTGACATCTTTCTTCGTAAGTCATAACAGGGGAGCTACTATGCTTGAGAATTCTTCCACAAACCTACGGTAATAACCTGTCATACCCAAGAAACTTCTAACTTCCTTGACCATAGTCAATTACTTACAGCCCGTCATTGCCTCAATCTTATCGGGATTCACTAACACCCCTTCTTTCAATATTATATATCCTAGGAAAGAAGTTTGCTCAAGCTAAAATCCACATTTACTTAACTTTGCGTATAGTTTCTTTTCTCTGAGAATCTGTAAGATTTAGGTCAGATGCTAAGCGTGTTTTTTCTTGTTCTTAGAGTAAACCAGGATATCATCAATGAAAGCTTGGCAAACTGATCCAAGAATGGTCTGAAGATCCTATTCATCAAATCTATAAAAATTGCGGGTGCGTTAGTTAATCCAAATGGCATGGAAAAAAACTCAAAATTTTCGTACTGAGTTCTGAAGGTTGTTTTAGGGATGTCATCTATATTGATCTTCTTCACCTGATAATATCAGGAACGCAGGTCAATTTTAGAGAAAATCTGGGCAACCTATAACTGATAAAAAAAGTCATTAATTCTGGGAACGAGATACTTGTTCTTAATTGTGACCTTATTTAATTCTCTGTAGTCTATGCACAACCTCAAAGTCCCATCACTCTCTCTTGCGAACATACTTCTGGCACGTTAAGGAGATACACTATGTCGGATGAAACCATTGTCCTACAGCTATTTGATGTGTTTTCTCAGTTCTTCTATTGTGACACGGCTCATTCAATATGGGGAAACCAAGATGGGTTGGGTGCTAGGTTAAAGATCAATGGTGAATTCTAC